ATGACCTATTTTTGACCCGTGTTTTGCTCATATCTCTGTCAAATGTCAAGGTATCGAGCTGAAAATTTTACCACAGCCTTCGCACTTCAGCCCCAACATATGCTCCAAATTTCAGCCCATTTGTATTAACCAGGGCTGAGATCGATTTTTGAGGGGGAGGGGGCCTTAAAAAAAGATTGAAACTTGACGATGAACCGTGACCGAGATATTGAGAAAATACTGAATGGGACATTTATTCTGCGCCATCCATTAAAAGAAAAGAGTAAACAGGAATTCGAATCCATATAATTTTTTATCACTCTTATAAAATGCATGATTATGGTATTTATTAATTTTCAATCACCAATATCCAAATTCAGGAATACTTTTTAATGTGATATTTGGCTATGTCTTTATTTGTATTATTTTCCTGATACAACTTCAAAACGAGAAGAAGATCGACAATCATTATTTGCAATAAGAAACTAGATGAATATAAAAAAATTATTTTATAAAAGGGCAAATAAAAGTCCGACTCAAATACGTGTTTATGTACAAAAACGGCAAGAAAAAAGAAACGTTTTCAAAAACAAAATGGAATGTAGATAAATAAATTCAACAAAAATATCTACCAAAAACAAAATGGAATATCTAAAAAGGTAAAAAAATGTATAAAAAAGATATTTGTGCAAAAAAAGTATTCGTCATTTAATATTGAATAGAAATGAATATACATGGTAGAAGTCAATAGAATTTAACTCTTACATACACAAGATATAGAAAAAAAGCGAAACAATGAGTTGAAACGAAAAAAATGTCAATTAATACTAAAGCAATAACAATGAGAATTTTATTACAATTAAACCTATAAGATAATAATAAAATGAATTAAATACAAAAAATGTTCTTGAACTTTTATTACAACCGTCTCTTTCGTTACAAAAACAGTAAATTGTCTCAGTTGTGGGTATATATATATTATAGCCAAGACCAACATAATTATCAGTGGCTGTCCAACAACCATTCTCACGAACAGTAGGCATTTCTGGACGAGTAGCTTCAATTTCTCTCAAACAACCACGAATATAGTTTGTTTCACCTAAAATATAAGTCAATCAAACAACAGTTACATTAGAAAGGCGAGTAAAGTAGATGGTATGGGGAAAATACAAAATTAATGAATGTATACATTCTCTTGTGAAAGTATACATTTGCCAAGGCATTCACAAAAGTTTACATTAAAGAAGTTAAAATGTATTTTGAGCTTATTAATAGCTATTTGCAGTCAGTTCAAGAGTATCAGCAGATCTATTTTATAAGTGTTCTAACTTTCTATTATAATACTAACAAACAGTCAGCTTTTAAATAAAACAGATTTTACAGAACTAGTGACGTTGATGGATGACTGATAAAAGAAATCTTAAGAGAGTGGATAAAGTTGTGAATTGAGTTCGAAGAAAGAGGATTGCAATGACTATTATCGCTCTCGCTCTACGCTTCATTTATTCTTCTTTTGAGTGTGTAGATTTGTAGAGTAGATTCTTTCAAAATAAGACATCGTGGAATGGTGTATATTACAGAATTATAAGTTTTCGCCTACAAGTCCTAAGATGAAATGAAATAGGAAAATATTTTCTTTTATATAGTATCTAAATCAACTCATCATAAAATGACTCGGTCAGCATCTCTTTCCATTTCTCATTTTGATCTTTTTCGCCAATTTCAAATTTATTAGCATGCGAAAAAAAACAAAATTCAAATTCAAAAATCGCCTTAAGTGATTTTAAAGACATGTTACAGCTTTAAATCGAAAACAGTTTAGTGAATTGCACAGACTCATTTTCGAGAATCCTATACTGTGTCGATAACATCACCCTGAGCCTTACAACATCGATAAGTTTTGAAAGGCTCAACATTTCGACACAGAAATTTTATCATAGCTCTTTCATACCATTATCCACATTTTCCGGAATTTTCATTAATATCAATTGTCAGTTCAAAAAATCGCTCGGAAGGTAAGGTATCCCATTAATTCGTGGAAGAAAAAGAATGTATCATTTTGTGTAGCTATTATCAGGGGTATGAGAACATCCTTTCAGACATACACATAAACACATCTGCAAACTCAATCAAAGCAATCTGCCTGCAAATTATTAAATTACAGTAGAATATAACTACGTTACACAAATGACTGACTTTAACCCAAAAACTTTAAAACTGTTTCTTAATTAAAAACATCTTACCATCCGGTGTTCTTTCAATAATTTTCACACATTTAGCACCACCAGGCATATCACACCTTTTCCATCTCATTAATAGCCAATTTAATTTTTTTCCACAACCGGGGCGATTTGAATGGCATTCATAGCAATCAAGATGGAAACCATTTAAATAATCAATAACTTGTGGCACTTCTGGATTAACTAAAACGAAAAACAAGAGATGATCGCTAAAAAAACGAAGGACAATATTTATTTAATTCGTACCACACCGGAATAACCACGAATATAATAAAATCAAAAATAATGACCACATCATACTAGATGAGATATAAAGTTAAATACAAGAATATAAAACAGTACTCTCAAAATATAAAAAACAGATCTTCTAACACAATTGTATCGTCAATTTATGATTTTTAACGTTGTTTATGCATAATTTTCAAGTAGCCATTATTCGATCTCGTTGAGCTCTTTATGAGAGATAACATGTGATTGTCTGAAACTTCCAGCCAATCAAAACATAAACTTAAAGAAGAAACAATAACATTGAAAACCATGAGAGAAATATTTGTCTTTCCATTTTCCAACTGTTATGGTTTAATTCGTCCTCTTCCTAATATACGTATACATATTCTATTATTTTTAGATAAATTGTACCTTTGGATTCAAAAATGGATCCAAAACATAGAATTTCATCATCTCATCATGATAGCATTGCCCCAAGTTCGATGAAGGTAAGGAATAAAGTTTTGTTAGAGCCTTCCGATGATACCAAACGTTGAGTTTAGAGATTGCTTTGTCATCCGCAGTTTCTGCTATGAAAGTAATATGAATTTTCAAGAAATTTTTTCATCAACACGAGATATGTTCCTGAAAATATTTAAAGTCAAAAATCTGATGCTGTTTGTCTCCCCGGATGATCCATACTCGAAGATGTTCTTTCAAATTTTACACTTTTCAAACTATCATGGCGTTGAGCGTTTGTAAATTTTGTTTGTTCACATTACGGATATAGTGAACAAAAATGCTGGCTTCCTGTCGCCATTCGGTTCGAGTAACAAATAAAGTTTTGTTTTCTCTCTTTAGTCGATATCTGATAGTAAAATCAAATCATTTGAATCTGGTTTACCACCGAAAACAACATTGTCAAGAAAAGAACAAGAAGATTTACGTCGAAAAATGGAAGAAAAAGAAAGACAAGAAGTTTTTAGAGATTTTGTTGCGTCGTTTGAACCAGCAAATAAATTAGGAAAAACATTTATCAAAGGTGGAACATTTAATCCTGGTTCTCATGAAGAATCACCTCAAGATAAAGGAAAAGCATATCGTCCAGCAGCACATTCATCAAGATTTAGTGATAGTAGTACTCCTCATCGAACATCATCACATACACCAATTAAAAAAGAACCAACAACACCGACGACAGTGTATAATACAAAAACCATGGAAACAATTCAGCAGCAAGCAATCAAAAATGCAGCAAGTTTAGCTGATAATAAACCGGTAAGTCAACGTTTTCTTGTGCACGATATTTTTATGCTTGTTGTTTTTCAATTTAGAAAATTAAAAGTGAAAAAGAAAAAAGAAAATCAAATTTAGAATCATTTAAAGAAGAACTAAAAAGGTAATAATGACCTGTTCTTTTTCATGAAATCTTACGAAGCTAGTTAATCTGAATTTGTTGCTCATAACTATCTATATGTTGCTGTTTTAGAATACAAGAAGAACGTGATCGTCGTCATACACAAAAACAACGAGAAAAAGATGGAAAACGCACACGATTTGAACCACTACCAGTTGAGCCAATGATCGCCTCTGAATTAGCTCGTAAGCTCACTAACTCTCATTTTTATAAATCAAATTTTTCTATTATACATGTTTTCTAGTCGATTCTGAATCATTACATCAAGAAAGTCGTTATGCATCAGACGATCCTGGAACAACAAACATATTCTTAAGCAATTTGAATCGATCAGTATGTTTGTCTCTATTTTTAAAACTTCAATTAAACATTCTCTAACTTGCAGTTAAATGAATTGAGTATAATGGAAATATTTGGTCAGTTTGGCCCATTAGCAAGTATAAAAATCATGTATCCACGAACAGAAGAGGAAAAATCACGTGGCTCTAATTGTGGTTTTGTGGCGTATATGAGTCGAAAAGATGCAGAGCGTGCTATCGCTGAATTGGATGGTGAGTTTTAGTATTCAATATTTGTCACACCTTGTCATATGTTTTTTTTCTTTACTTTTACAGGTCGTGAATTAGGCAATCTTCGTATCCGTTTAAGTTGGGGTCGTGGTAAGTGACTGATTTCTGTTCGTTCATTTTCTCGTATAACTATGCTTAATGTTTAGCTGTGCATATTCCACCGCAACCAGTATATATTCCTCCATCAATGCGTGAATTAATCCAGCCGCCACCACCCTCAGGTTTGCCCTTCAACGCCCAACCCAATACGAAATATTCATCATCTAAACACATTGATATGCAAAAATATGTGAACGGAGGAATAATATCAAAATATGACAGAACTTTTGAAAAGGTAATGTTTTCTAATATGTTCTTTACTCTACACTCGGTAATGGTATACGTATGCTCTTCTTCTGTCTAATCTATTATATATCAACCGTAAAATATAGAAAGAATATTCCAGTTGCTTTTAAAAATATAGTTAAATTAGTATTATTTTACTTTAAAGAGTTACATTATAATTTTTTTTTATTTAGTTGCTTGAGTATGCAACAGTTAAAGTTGTTATTCCACAAGATAAGTAAGTGATTTTTTTCTGTTTAAACTAGAGTGCTTGTAGACATTTGATTTCAATTCTAGACCATTACTTTGTTTGATACATCGTATGATTGAATTTGTTGTTCGTGAAGGCCCACTATTCGAAGCCTGTATCATGAATAAAGAAATGAATAATGCACAATATAGGTAAAGTTTTAACGTATTAATTATCGTTTGAAAAACTTACTATAATGTGTTTGTTTTTAAGATTTTTATTCGAAAATCAAAGCTCAGCACATCTTTATTATCGTTGGAAATTATTCTCTGTCATTCAAGTAAGATGTGTATAAATATATCGTCTAAAATACGTTATATTTATGTTTTTTTATTCTCAGGGTGACAGTGTATCTAGCTGGCGTACTGAACCTTTTAAAATGTTTACCAATGGAAGTACATGGATACCACCACCTTTAAATCAGTATACTCAAGGAATGCCTGATGAAGCATTTGAAAAAGCAAAACAAGAATATGATGGTGTTAGTGCTGCTATTAAAAGAGGACGTTTAAGTGATAGGTCAGTAAAAGCAATATCTCATGATCTTTCAATATGGATTCTACCTGTTTTGTTGTTGTTTTTTAGCCAACGCGATCACTTGGAAGATTTATTACGTTCATTAACGCCAGAGAGACCAAAAATTGGTGATGCCATGTTATATTGTATCGATCATGCTGAAGCTGCTGAAGAAATAGTCGATTGTATTGCTGAATCATTATCTATACTTCAAACACCTACACACAGAAAAGTGACTAGTGATCTAAACCTCTTTCGATATTGTTTATCGATATATGTTTTTATTCTTTTTTAGATTGCCCGATTATATCTCATATCCGATGTCCTACATAATTGTAGTGTACGAGTGACGAATGCATCTTATTTCCGTCGCGGGTATGTACCTAGCTAGAAAAGGTTTATTGTTTTTATACAATGATGCATTTCTGTATTTTAGTTTTGAAGCCCATCTGGCAGACATTTTCAAGAATGTTCATGATACATGGAAAGAAATTGATGGCAAATTGAAAGCTGAACAGTTTAAAGTGAGTTTTAAACATCTATATTCTTACGTTGAGTTTGTTAATATATGTATACTTTCTAGCAAAAAATAATGAATATTTTTCGGGCGTGGGAAGGTAAACTTAAAGTAATCATAAAAAAACAAACATACTGAATAATTTTTATTTCGCTTTTGAGGTTGGGCTATTTATTCAAGTGAATTTTTAATCAAATTACAAAATATATTTCTTGGACTAGTCAAACAGAAGCCAACTAATCATTCAGTAAGATTAATCTTTAAATAGAAAATGGATGTTTTCATCGTTTTATTATTTCAGGATAATAGTTCCGACCCAACGGATCCTGGTGCCTTTGTAGGTAGTGATGAAGAAATTGATGGAAAACCGGTTGCTGTTGATGTGGATGGCAAACCATTAGCTTTAGTTGCTGATTATGACGATGAAGAAATCGATGGAAAACCAATTTTAAAGTCACGAGATGACGATATTGATGGCAAACCATTGATTGATAATACAACACACCATGGTAAGAATAAGAGTTGTATATTTTGTTTGTTGAAGAATAATGCTGTTGTAAACATACGTTAATACCAAAACATCTAATGTAAAAATATTTTGTTGATTTATTTTCCGATTATTCTAGTGCGGTCAAGATTTTCCGAAGAAATTAATGACACATCAGAATCATCAACAGTTAAACCCCGTTTTGTTCAAACAAAATGGGAAACAGTTGATCCATCAAAACTTGTTGAGCAAGGTAAACTAATCAAAATTTCTTTATATGTTTTACTTGCTAAATTCGTTTGTTTATACCTAGCTGTAACAACATCGAAATGGGATTTGTTTGATGAAGAAAAATCAAATGATGAAGTATCGCATACGCATACTAAATCGAAAGCAAAAGAAAGTCTTTATGAAGATATAGGTGAAGAAGAAGAACTGTCAAGAAAACAATCATCGAACACATCTACAGCATCAATGAATATGAATACATCTGAACAATCAGATGTACAAAACGCTACTAATCCGCATACAAATCGAATCAATGAGTGAGTACAAAACGATTGATTATCCAGGTGTCTGCATTGAAAAAATACAAATTTACAAATATCTTAGTTTCATCATATTCATCTGTATATTCAAGAGATATTTACAGTAACAGTAACAGCAGAGGAGACGATACAAAACAATCAACATTAACTTCTGTTGTGATACCTCACTCAACAAATTCTACAGGAGGAGGATTTGCGTTAACTGGTGATACGGGTGAATCAAAAGCAGCAAATGAAGAAAGACGGCAGAAATTACGAGATATCGAAGTAAGTAGAGTCATAATTAGAGAATAGAAATTGTAAAAATAAATTATCTACTTTTCTAGGTAAAAGTATTGAAATATCAAGACGAACTTGAATGTGGACGAAGAGATCGTAAACATGGTTTATCACTAACTGAAGAAATCGAATTTTATAGACAAAAATTATTGAAAAAAGTAAGATAAGAAATAAAATATGAACAATAAAGTTTATCATGATATGTACTCAAATATATTCTAGTCTATTAATGATAACGGTATTTCTAATTTTATTTAAGGAATGCGAGCACGATAAACAAACTACATCTTATCCAACTTCTCTGATAAGTTCCGACAATAAACTATTACCTTCATATTCTTCCAATGATTCAAAATCGTTTTCATCAAAATCTCATCTCAATACGAAAGCAACAGCGTCGACGTCTCTCTCTACGCCTACTACTTTTTCAAGTAATTCAAGCAATATTGTTAGCCATACATCATCATCTTCATCTCGACATTCACAACGAAATAAATCGCCGAATACAAATTGGGAGAAAAGTACGTGAGTCATACCATTATCAATACAAATGCACAGGAAAAAAAAAGAATTTTGAGTCGAGTGAGTGAGAAGATTAGCATTGTGAGAGTCAGTGGCATATATTATTTGATTATGAATGTAATAAATAATAATCTATAATCAAAATTTCTCTGTCTATGTACCTATCAATTAGATGATGAACATAATTCACGAAGAGACAAATCGTTAACGAAACATGTAAGTCTAGTTTTATGATTTTTAATTATTTGTAATAAATGAAAAATCTATATGAACATATTTCTATATGTAAAGATTTTTTGAGAAATTTTTCTAGTGATGATTGCATTAAATTGCATTCATAAATGACTTTCTGACCATTTTCTTACATTTGGCTTTAATTTATTGCGTTCATCTTCTACAACATTTTGACTAATGCTCGTGCATAGGGTATAAAAAACTATGCATCAGTGAGATAAGATTATTGCGTTATGACATTATAGTCGTGGTCTTTTGTGTTATTTTGCAATACAAAATAACAAATATCGACATATTTCATGTATTTATAGTAAATATATAGGAACAAAGTCCCACTAGATTAGATTTTTATTTAAAAATTTACATCTCATTGTCAATATTTGATATATTAATTTATTCAGGAGCTATTTAGTTTAACGTATATGTGAGAATGACAACTGCTATCAATTTATTTTGAATAAGTAGAAAAATATCTAGCGCATTACTTTTGTCTTTGAAACAAAGACACAATGCCAAACTTTTATAATTAAAAAACCTTAGTTATAACATTAATGGTAAGACTTTCAATAATATTTACATCGATAAAAAAGCTGACAGTCAGTTAGTTGTCTAATTTAACATGATGCTCCTAAATATATTTGATATCCAAATGAAGAAAACTTTTATCATTCGTAATTCTTTTTCTCATAATGGTTCACAATTGACGATTTTCAATAGTCCTCAAAAAAAATGACAAAAAACGTTTTTCATCGTGCTAAAACAAATCAGTTTTGAGTCGATCCACTTGACTAGTTAATAAATGGACTGTTATATTAAAAATAAAGAAGAGAAAAAAAGATGATCGAATTTTTAAATGCTCTTTTCTTTCAGACTTTTTGAACGCGTATCTTAAATGTGCTAGAAGAGTAATTAATATTCTGTCGTTAATAGGTTTTTGTTAACTTTGACAGTAGCACTTGAATATTAATATCTAAAAACAATGGTTATCCTACTTTTTGATATGAAATCTACCATAATGAACTTCAAAATCACACCCACATCTATCTTTTAATTTTTGGATTTAGCAGTTTTTCAAAGTTCATTAACATCCATGGCTGGTTCTAGCGGGAGAGGATTGGTGGCGGTAATCCCCTCAATAATCGAAATCTTTTCATTTTTCACAAAATTCACAATTTACTACGTTCACGCAAAGAACACTTTCACTACGCGATCACAACAAAAAATTTATCTATTCTCCCATCCCCCTCCAGTCTTAAAAACCTCGCGCTAGCCCTCTTAGTATCCGTTGATGTCTGGCACCATTTGTTCTTCAGAAGAATAAAAATAATTTTCTCGTTGTCATTCTTTCTTTTTGAAGTACATTTGATTGATGTTGCACATGAGTCATCTTTTATTGCTAATCTCTGCGTGCACTGGTAGTTTAGAGATAATTAATGCACTGATACAAAATGAATTACTATGTAATTATAGAAGATAATCTTAGTTTCAAGTTAGTGTATTGTTTGAATGGTGCCAATATTGTTAAGTCTTGAGTTATGATCTGTTTTAAGGCAGCTGAAATAAAAAATCACAGTGAAAGTGGTGCAGTGGAAATTTGCAGACAGCTGTCAGCAAAGACGGAATCTGCCGACATCGCAAGTTGTGCACAACATAATTGCAATCTAGTTTTCTCTATGAAGAACGCGAATGAAAATTCTTTAAGAGAAGTGAAACACCCTCTTTTAAACCGTATACAGTAATGAGTACTTTAATTAATTGATTGAAACCTGACTTTGATTTCACAAGAGATATTTTTTATTTCACTCTAACTGTCCTTGATTGTCTACCAGTGATTTCTGGAAGAAAGTCTCTTTCCACTTTAATCACTATATTCTGTTGTTCTTTTCCAAATTAAAAAGAAGTTCAAGGCGAGTGACACGTTAAACTTGTTCAAGATTTTCGAAAGCTTAATTTTAATCTATTTTTGATATTTCGATCCTGATGAAGCATCTGCGTTAGACAACTATGACAATGATTATTAGCTTAATGCTGATGAACATATTTGTACGTCAGTGTTTAAACACTTCAACTGTTTACAAAACGATAAACACAAAATAATAAGACAAGTATTTTCTTTTAACAGCATAATTCATTGAGATCGAAACATCAAAAACATTAAAATAACTTGGCTTCAGCGTAATCAAGTGATATATCTATCTTTTGTACACAGAATACTTGGTGTCCGGAACAGAGTAAGTTGGGACCACATAGAGCGAATAAAAAGCAGAAAAAAAGTTGTCCCCTTTTCAGTTGTCTATTTCCAAAGTTTATTATCTTTTTTTTTGCATTATGATCGTACTTAGAGTAGTAGAGATCACCCAGGTAAACTAAGACAGTCAGCAATAGAATATAAAAATAGATAAAAGAATAAATGAATCAGTACGCGCACCCTCCTCCAAATAAGCGATGTATACGTCTTAATTAAGCAATATATTTTAATATGTTATGACGCAATAAAATTAGAGACCTCAAAACGTAACAAAATTGTGCATTACAACATTTATTGCAAAAACATCCCGTGAAAATTTGGGCCATAATTTTTGTAATGAAAAACGGATGATTTTTTACCTCCATGAATATTATTTAAAACAGTTGAGCATAACTAAACTTACAGATAATTTTGAATACTACCATTTTAGAAATCTAGTTCAAAAAGAAGTACCTCAAATCATTCATCTGGTTCAAGTCAATCAGGGTAAGTGACAAGTTTTATTTCATATATCCTAAGGATGAGTATCGAAATATATTTATTAACTCTTCCTCCATTTCCTCTTAGCCATTCTGAAATAGTATGAAAATTTGATGTGCGCCATCATTTTTCTCGACTTTTTACATAATTACTCGTTCTTGTTTCTTTTTTTATTATTTTTTGATTTATTTCAAAGTTCATCAAAATCAAAATCGACACATCATTCCAATCGCAGAAAGCGAGACCGTTCTCCATCACCAGTCGAACGTTCGTCATCTCGATCCCGTAAAGTCAATCGAAACTAACTAATGTTAGTTTTTTACACAATATTAATGACTTCTGTATGTTTTATGATACTCTCAAAAGGAAGAAAAAAAGAAATTGTAAACAATTAGTTTTAGTTTGAGAATGAGTTAGCATACGGTGTTTAAACGAAAACAAAGTTTTTTTCTAAAATATATGCCTGAAATATCTTTTTGTTTTTTCTGTCCTTCTCATCTTTTTGCTGTTCTTGTACAAATAAACTTATGTAACGCATTTATTATGTATGTATTGTGTTATTTAATAAAATAATTGAGTAAAAACGATTTATAGATCTAAATACTATAGAAGAAGAAAAAAAAAAACGACACAATTCACAAAACAAGTATTTATTACAAACATTCTTTCATCTATGCTAGAAAAGATAACTTTGAACTTAATACACTGAAATAATTCATTCAATCATTTGAAAATGAAAATGTTTGTACATGATAATTGTAATTTAGTTAATTAATTTTTTTGGGTAATGTATAATGTGTATGCTTTTTAAACAATTAACAATTTATGTTTTCTTACATCATAGTTCATAGTACAGTTAAAATTTAATGTCTTTTTGAATGTAATTTAAAATAGAAATAATGATTATATCAGTGGGAGTATATGTAAATTGTATTGTTCTTGTAAACTCGAAATAATACTTAAATTCTTAATATTTGTAAATTCTACTATCGATAATTGTTATGACCTTGTTAGATCATAAGCTTCGATTCTCATTTTTCTATGTCTTTGTGTATTAGACACGCGTAATTTCCTTCTTTCTCTTTCGTACTGTCCAGTTTTCTTTTATCCTCAATGATTATTTATTTTCGCGTCAGTCCACTTTTGTACAGTGCTAAATATACAAATTTGTTCTACACTTTTTTCTCCTTATCATTCATTATTCAATAAAGTATACGTTTTATCTCGAATCTTGTTAGCCGTAATGGAAGAATACGGGGCTTTTATAATCACTAATCACTACGCAGCATGACAATAAATATCAATCGAAAACATTCGTTTTTCAATAAAAGAGGAATTAATATGGAGTTGATCTACGAAATATACAACTTTTCTATATCAGACTTGATGTAATTCTTAGATCTACTCTTCATGTTTTATTTAAAATTTAATTTTTTTGTCATTTCCTCGATGGATTAGATTTGATTGCATGTCGGTTAAAAAAATAAAAAACGTTAACAAAAAGAAAAAAAGAATGCTTTTCTTTTGTTATGTTTTTAGTATTAAGATGATTGTTTCCTATAAAAAGAGAAAAAAAAAGAAGAAAAAGCATGGGGTAAACAATGATTATTGCTTGCATGCTAGTCGTTGAATAACGGATATACTATGGCAAAAGAATAAGAAAAGCTCTTTCTATATACGAAGGAATCGTGTGTACGAAAAAAATTGTGCGTATAGTACTACTATTGGGACGAAAAAGAAAAATTAATAAATATATAGTCTATCTATAGGAAAAAAATTACTCATTTATATTGAATGAGTGAGTGTACAAAGCAAAAAAAAAGAAAAAGAAAAGAAACGGTTGTGTATTTCAGACTCCGATGTATCATCAATGTTAATAAAACAAATATATATATATATATATATATATAAATATATGCACGCGGAATGCAAAGGAACAAAAGTAAGAAGAAAAAAAATTAATTTTTTTGCCCGTTTTTTTTTTTGAACGTGAAAGAAAAGTTTTTTCGACCATAAAAAAAGGTAAATTTTAATTTTTTACTCGGTTATAATCATTCAATGTCATCCGCTTTGAGTTAGAAAAAAAGTAGACAACATCTGACAATGTGGGTAAAAAGTTAACAACTTCATAATTGAACAAGATAAAAAATTATAATGTAGAAAAAGGGCAAACGTCCGTTTTTGAACCGACTAATTATAGCAACAAGAATTTGCTGTGATTTATATTATTTGCTCAATGCATAGAACATATTTATAGATTCTTGAGAGGAGGGTCTGAGACCGAACAATTGGATATTACTAGCTTTTCGAACTATTGTCCAGTTTTCTCTTTCTTTCATGCATAAGATGGAACGGGAGATTACTAAAAATTGTGTAACACGATAAAATAGTGAATAGTTCAGTATCCACTGATTACAATCAATATTGAATGAAAACAAATCCGATCACAGCAAGGATACTTTCAATATTAGCACCTCTCTCTCTCTCTTTTCACGAAAATGTTATTAAGTATCGTTATTTGGAAACTTCAGGAATTTAGCAGGATAGATGCATGACCATTTTTTATTTGAATTTATTTTTTTACGCATTGTGTTCAGGGTATCAGGGTACAAAACTTCATATTTTCTCAAATTCTTAACTTTTCCAATACTGTCGTCGCAGAAGTACAGAGAGTTTTGCCAAACGCTCCATTTCAAATCTTTCGAACAACCTCTTTTTACCCTTTTTTAGAAAGTGTTATTTCTGTAATGCTAAAAGTGTTGGACAAGTGGTTTTAAGTGTAATTCATTGCGTATGAAGAGATCCTTCAAATGAAGGGCTGCATCAAGCGATGTAACAGTCGAAATAGAAATAGTTTTCGCTTTACTAGACGACAGTTGGACGATCAAAGGTTGAAATGTTAATAGAAATATTTTTGGTGATATGTCATTCGATGACGTTTTTGTACAGTGGCTGAACTTTATTTTTCATAAATATGTTGTATGGCTTCGAAGAACGTGTTTTAACAATCTCAAATCTTATTTTTGTGTTTAAGACAATTATTTCTAAGCTGTTTTATGTTATCCACTTTAATCTATAAAACTTTGCCTACAAAACGTACCAATTGAACGTTACTATTACAGTGTCGCATACACTTATTAGCCTTTTCTGATCTGACACTAATATACCACTTGTAGATTCAAAAAGCTGATTAAAATTATCAAGTCATACGTCATTTGCAAGTTTGCATTAGACTGACGAGGGAACATCGACAGACGTGCAACTCCAATTTCAATGATATTAGGGGTATAGATGGTCCTAGTTTAAAGCTTAAAAGGATTCCGGCCCCTATCACTTCTTTCAAAAGTTATAGAATTTTTAATTTTGCTTGTACAAGGCGTACCAATAGAAAAAGAAAAAGCGTTGGCAACCTTTATGGTTTGAACTAGGACGATATCTAATCGTCTTCGAACCTCAAACTTTTCGTTCTTGATTAATCAAAACATTCTGTAGACTATCTAGACATCTAAAACTACTATAGAAAAAAATTTCAGGTTGCTACGACTTTGTTTAACACTAGAACGCCCGGAAATTTTCATGACCTAGAATGCCCAAAGCGGTCATTTTGACCGTTACTGTTTTTTTTAAAAATTTTATACTTAAAAATGGTTCTGAATTCAAAAATGAATTAAAAATTCTGCAAAAAATAATTTTTATGGGACAAATTAAAAGTTATGACATAATTTATTTTTAAATAAATTGTATGCAGTTTGTTTTATTAAGGATAAAAATCACAAAACGGTCAAAATGATCGCTACGGGCGTTCTAGTGTTAAATAAGTTATACGCTTTTTCTTTTTCTCTTGATACTAAGACCATGTATAGTATCGATACTTCCAATATCATTGAAATTGGAGTTGTACATTTGGCGATATTCCTTCGTGAGTTCATTTCACTTAAAGCCACTAGTCCAGTACTTTCCGGATTACAAAAATTATATTTTTTTAAGAAATACTCAGCAGATGTGAAACGGAGCGTTGGACAAAAAAAATTATGGCTCTGCCAGAACAAAATTAGAAAAATGAACAATTTGAGAAAACTTAAAGTTTTGTATACTAGAAAAAACGACTAAAAATTTTGAATCAGAAAAGAGCGTGTCCATCCTCTGATAATGATTCTTAATAAATTAGTAGTAAACAGGTTAAACTTATACTAAGGATATTTTCAAGACAAATCTTTAATCAATTGCAATGAACTGTTATCCTAAATTTCGGTCACATTCTTACTAACAAAAAGTGTTAATACTCGAGAAAAGTTAGCTGGAACAATCTTTTCGTTTTTAAATTAAGCGACAAAACAAGAGATGAGAAAAAATAAAATATAAGAATACGAATAAATTAATGGTAAACTTCTTTATTTCTGTCTATACTTGTGTTATTCCTTTAAGCCAATTTGTCATGGACAGGTTATTGTCATTTACACTACTCGTTTCTTCTTTAGATTTAACGAAAAGTTATAAAATTTATCTATGAACATGAATTTCTTTCTCTTTTTGTTGATGACGACTAGAAAAATGAATTTTATCAATTTATCTCTGATGTATGTACGTACTTAACAGATAATAATTATATTGTGATAAAAATATAGGGAAATTGAAAAGAAGAAAAAGAAAAAACATTAAGCATTCATCCTCCTATATATATATTTTTCAATGGTGAATAAATCCTAATAATAAATATAAACGAAGGAGAAAGAACAACCAGTAGAAAAAGCGGACGGATCTCTTTTTATTATTAAATTCGTTATATTTTTTTTACATCGTTTAAATTCAAAAACAGTGGCAAATGAATGAGGCAAATACGTTTGAGAATACGTTATTATTTAATTATTATTTTAACAATTCTATCACTAATTATGTTTTCAACATTTTATACAATTCTACATAAAACAAATGAAATTGAGCAAAAATCAGATATTTTTGAAAAGTGGCCAAGTGAAAAAAATTTATATCATCATCAGAATATCGAACAACAACAACATATCCCATTTTGGCAAGCATTAGACGCTCAAAATATTTATGATGTTAATTATATGCCAACGAATCATAGAATGAAAAACAAGTTTCCTATCAACGTTGAAATAATTGAAAATTTATTTCAGTTAGTTGATAGTTATAAATTAGAAATTATTACGGATAAACAATTGAATATTAATGAATTTGATCGAGTTTTTATTAAGAGAACAACAACAGTTAATAATAAAAAATATTCTAATCAAAAAGAGGATAAAGAGATAGTATTTGACGTTAACAATGGTGATGATGATACAAATAAAAAACAACAAAAAGATGTTGATGATTTTCAAAGTGGTGAAAAACCATCCAAGATGATACCTATTGAAAAAGTTATAGATGAAAATGATAAACAACAATTAAGAAAATATATCATTAATATGTTATGGAAATGGAAGAGAAAATATCGAGAGATGAAACAAATTAATCTTGCAGAATTATTATACGAACACATTGAACGAGATGAACCACTGTAAGTTTCAGATTTTTCATCTTTCATCTAAAGAAAGAAGGATCTTTCAAATATAAATTTTACTATTTACGAGTTCATATACAATGATGTGTTTAAATAGAAGAATTAATCTATTGAAACAGATGTGACTTTTTCTTTTTTGATAGACGTTATTCTTAGTTAAGATGCCAGTAATTCAAAAATGGACTAAACATTTTTTTTGACTTGGCTGAATATAGCTCGTCGATTTAATCAAGAATATGTGTGTTTTAGTCTAGCGAAAGTCTCATTTTGTGCAGAATTAACTTCTCTATCGTTCTAGATGGCTCTGACAATTTTTTTAAAATAAACGTTTTCTAGAAAACTCGATTTTTCTGGAAAACTTCTGGAGATCTTGAAAGTGTGTTCATTAGATTCTACGGTCTGTTTACTTAAGTAGCTCAATTTTCATCGTTATTGAGTCAAAAACGGAAGTTTTTGTTCGCAAAACACATGAGTGGTTTTGATCAAAACCGCTCAACTTTCAGTAAAACTGAAATATTTCAGCAACGAAATAAAATTTTGAAAAAAGCTCTACGTACTTTAAAGCTAATACTTTGGCGGTGAAAGCGCATCGTCTATGCTGATCCTTTTTTTTTGCAATGTCGCATCGAATTATTTTTATAGGATGGTACTGAATAAAAACAAGCAGTATGCCCATGTTGCATTGAATTTTAGCAATGGGGCATCGTTTCTGAACTGAAAAATCGGCATTGCATGGCATCGATCCGTTTCTATACCCATTTGGCATTGTTTAACATCGTCCGGGCATCGGTGCGATGCGCATCGATCTTTGGCGATGCCAGTGACATATGACATACGCACTGGTGCGCATCGCCGATACCACTGATTTTTTTGTCGCACCGAATTTCCCCACGGAATGTCTTTTTGTGGAGTTTCTAGGTTATTAATAAAAGAAAACGACAAAAAAAATAGAAATCATAAAATGCTGTACAATTTCTCTCACCTACGCAAGACACTGATGTTTTTTAGCGTAAAACATTTGTCTCTATTTACATCACTAACAATTGTCATGAGAGAAATAAAAAAAAGTTCATTAAGCGTGTCTTAATAAAATTTTGATCAAGTGAATAATAATGGATAAGAGTACATAAGTCAAGTTTTTATCTTTAATCAAATTCTTGTTAATTAAACCTCGGTGTTTGCTTCTCAAGGTCTCTTTCAGTCAACCGTTGATCTACTTAGTCTTTTCAAAAACTTATGAAAATGATCTGATCAATCATTCTGAACATGACAATTTGTTCGGAATTAAATAAAAATGCTTTAGTCGTCTTTAATAGAAAAAATTATTTTTCATCCGAGTTCAAACACACATTGAGATTGATAGTCGATGTGATGAGATATCCGAACCTGTCAAATAAAATAAAGAAATGAAAATATTTAATATGTGTGATAGAATTGTAGATGATGAATCCAATTTGAAAAACGACGTGAGAATGAACATTATCGTGTTGTCTACCATATTTAGGCGAAAAATAGTCGCAAGAATAAAATCTTCGCTCTTGTGTGATTTAATGGATTTTTCATTTCTTTTGTTAACAGACTTCGATGGTCTGTCATATGTTTCATCGAATCTCACTATTTTTGAGATATTGAACCTTTGTAGATTTCATGACATATCGACTATCACTCTCATGTATGTATGTTTGAGTGATTACCCGAATGAAAAGTCATTTTTTCAATTATAGACGACGACTAAAGCATTTTTATCTAATTTTAAACAAATTGTCATGTTCAGAATAGTTAATTAGATCATCTTAACAATTTTTGGAAAAGACTAAGAGATCAACGTTTGACTGAGAGAGATCTTGAGAAGCAAACAGCAAGAATCTAACAATACAAATAACAATATTCTAACTTGACTTATTTATACACATCCTTTATAATAGATATTTTTATTCGTCGTCTGTAACAGCTGTTAACTCAAAATTGAATAGAGAGAGAACAACATTGCAATGATTCACTTTATTTGTGATTAAAAAGATTAGAAATATATCATACTATGTTGTTAATTTAGAAAATTGAATACTACTTGGTTTGAATATCTTAAAACTGTCACAAATTTACATCTTTACAATACAGATAGTCAAGTATTAAAACATTTATTGGATCAACTGCTAAACAATGATGTTATACAAGCAAGTAAAAAAATATTAAATAATTGTCTACGAGCGTTTTTGAGCAAAAAATAGTGAAATTATTTCAAATATTCTTTATTTGTTATAGATGAATTGGCACAAGGTACACAAATAAAACTTGTATTACAACTTTCTGATGGTATTGAAGGTTTACTCAAACCATATAGGTGAGTTATGTTTATTATTTGGTTTGTTTCATTTTAATTATAATATATTTATAAATATTTATAATACTTATTATATTTAGAGTACCAAGAAATTATCAAACATTGCCTGATCACTATTATTTTAGTGACATTGAAAGACATCATGCTGAAATAGCTTCATTTCATTTAGACCGGTAATTAACAGAATAAAGAATGTTAATTCATGTAAAAAATTTTTTTTTCATCCATCTTTTAGAATAATTGGTTTCAATCGTGTTCCACCGTTAATTGGACGAATTTTAAATATAACCGGTGATTTACGAGAACATGCAACAAGGTTTTGCTCTAATATTGTCTCATCTAAGTGTGAGAAAATATACAATATAGTAGAATACATACTTTCTAATGTTGTGATATTTGAACAGTATCTACCAGAATTGGCTAAAACATTTTTTATTTCACCAGGTATAATATTTGATAACATTGAATAAACTCTTTATTATCTATTTATTATTTATTTAGCTAATAATACTTGTTTTCGTGGACATTGTTCATATTATTGTGATACAGCTCACGCCGTTTGTGGTAGACCACGAGATTATCTTGAAGGTTCAATACAAATTTTATTACCACGTCCACCAGTAATTGAATGGCAGAAAATAACCCATCCTTATCGTAGATCGTATAGTGCTGTTAGAAAAGCAAAATGGGAATCAAACGTAAATTATTGTTACGACAAAGTCTTCACTGATGACCGCTATCATAATCGCTTAATATTAGACATGATAGATTTAGCTGTATTTGACTTTCTAATAGGTGTGTGTGTGTGTATGAGTATTATCCTCTTTATCCATATATTTAATTAAACATTTTCATCTTTTATAGGTAATTTAGATCGACATCATATGATGAAAATAAGCAGTTTTGGACTAAATTCTGCTTTGATACATTTAGACAACGGACGATCGTACGTAGAGATAGTGCAAAATTTAAAATATGTCTTGTGAAAAAATGTCTACGTACTTGTTTAGATTCGGTCGTTATGATCATGATGAATTAACAATTTTGACTCCTATTCGTCAGTGTTGTTTATTTCGTTATTCAACATTTCAACGACTGAAAACCGTTTACAAAGAACGTTTATCTCTGTTATTATATCAATCATTAAAAACTGAAAGATTAAAAACAATATTGATTAATGAACACCTGGTGGCTGTCGATAGACGTTTAGATATCTTATTTCATGTTTTAAATGATTGTATAAAACAACATTCTGTTGTTGATGTGCTTGTTGATGATGGAATCTAAAGTTATTTTTTGCTAAAACATGTTTTATATGTCGCCTTACTTTACTGTGACAATTAATTTTTATTGTTTTTTTTTAATGTTATTTATTTGTTCTCGACAGATTTTTATGTGAATTGAAATGCAATACGTGTGTTATTGTGCATAGATAACTTTTGTTTATTTTTTAATGAAGGAGTATTTTAATATAAAATAGAGAAAACTAGAAACAAAATTGATTATACAGTGTCTTGTTCATTGCAAAAATCAGTGTTTTTGAAAAACAAAGAAGTATTTGAGTACAAATGATGAATGATTCTTGTTCGAGCAACATTCTCCACATTATGTTGTGACTCATTAATCAACTGCATACGAAGATAACACAAAGTAGTTACTTAACAAATATGTATTTTAGAATCTATAAAAGGATTTTAAAATTTATTAAACACTAAGAAATATTGTCTCATTAATCTTCTTAACTCTCATGCATTCACAGAATATAGTTATATCATTCTTTTGCAAATTCTTTTATTTTGTTCTACTTTTCACATTATAAAATATCGTTATGACATTTCTTTTTGAAATATATATGCACCGCTATAAAACTGTTCTACAAAAAACATTTTGATGTTGCATTTGAAAAGAAAAGTTTTGACATTGGGAATATGTGCCCATGCGTATTGGATATTGTGTTTCACATGTATCAACAAAGATCGATGCGCACATGTGCCAGATCATCATCGATGCTAGCTTTGATTCTCATAAACGATGCCACACTCGTAAAAATCTGTAATCTGCTGTGTCCTATCACTGCATTCTGATTTCTCAGTACAGTACCGTATTGATAAAACTTAATGGAGCACTTATTTATGATCAGTGCGGTGTGGCATCTTATGTATTGATTTCAAACCGTGGTACACTAGTGTCAGCACTTCTCTCACTAGAAAGAAAATCTAAAGTGAAAAACTTCAAAGAAAATCAAGAATACTCATGGATGTTATATTATAGCTGATTGCGAAACAGAAAGATGACTAGCAAAAATCGTATCGATGCGCCTATATGCCGTCAGCCGCATTAGTGCGCACTGATGCTGAATTAATCGGGAAGTGTGCATCAAAGCCGAAAAGGTATTCAATTTCTGCATCAATAACACGCATGATAAAGCAATGGCATTATTAATTCTTCCTTTTATAGGATTGTTTTCTTTTTCAGTCACAATCAATTCATAAGTCATAATTCATAGATTAACTCTTGTTGTATAATGCTACAGGGAGATTGACATTCATCTAAGGATACTAAAAACACAGGAACAGAAGAAAAGTGAATGAATAATGAATAAAAATCTATGAAAAGCAAAGAGAAAGATAAAATTTACGCTCTTATGAAGTTATTGCCTGTGTCAACTTTGGTGGTACGCTTTCCTTTTCTTCCTCGCCAATATCAACATATTCTAGTTGAGAAAAGAAAAGAGCATATATAAGTTATACAGTATTTTTTGGACACCTACAACTCCACCCAGTCCAAGGAACGTGTTACGTTTTCTAAACGCGTACAGGTCTCTACATTGACGGTTGTAGCACTAAAAAGTAGGAGATATTATCAAAGCAAAAGACTCTGATTTTATCTGCGTCATCCGATATATACAACATCGACCTTTTTTATAAACTTTAAAATTTTTCCTTCCTCCAACTTCAAGTGGAACACAAAATGAAGTGCCTGACTTCGGAACATGACTAAACATGATTCTAGGATATCAGAATCGTGCCTATGCTGGAAAGTATATAATGAATTTTCGTATTAACTTGTAAATTTCACAAATAGTTTCTTCATACTCGTCGGCTTCCGCCTAAAAAACAAGTATTTCAGTTTTAGTCTTATATATTTGTGATTTTCTAGAAAGAGAATTACTCTATTCTGTCAATTTTATCAAAAATCAACATTTTTTAATCAGCAGTTTCACTTCACTTCGCAAAGTTTTTATATCTTAACAAAATTCAATATTTTAAGAGTGAATTCATTTTGTTCTGTAGCAAAAGAACACTTCTATCATATTCAAATACAAAAAGTTCAATAAATATCTTTCTCGCTTTGATCTAATCTGATTGATCTTGTAGCATCAAGAACGTGGGAGATGTGATCAAAACAACAATGTCCAATTGGAGTATTCTTGTTTCGTCGACAGCAGCTGTATGTGCTTGATTCGTTGACACTTTTTTTATCCTTTGTAAAACATGGAATTATAGTTGCAATTATGAAAATGTGTACTGCAATTTTAAATTTGAAAAAAGTTGGTAAAATCCAATAAAAAAGATCAACTGAGCGACGGATTTCTTTATCAAAACTAATAGTGTACAGAAAACAGTTGTAGTTGATAATAAAAGATGCATAAATATACTTATACAGCGATACTGAATCCCAAAAAATTACCTACTTATCAAGGATGCTACCTATTACCTACATTTTACTCTACTATATGTTTTCCATCGTCGACAGCAAACGTAAAAAGCAGTTTTAATTTTAAACGGTTATCGTTATACACAAGATAAGTAACGAGTAGATAAACTAGAAACAATAACACATATTGGAAATGTGAAGATCGTTCATGTACTGGTTGTACATCACAAAAATGTTCGGATGATCCAATAGAAACACGACAACATAGTCACAGTCCTAACCAAGATCAATGCAACGTGAAAGTCTAATATTTGGAACAACAGAATCTCTAGATGAATTAAGTAAAAATGAGCACATATTAATGGATGGAATATTTCAGTCATGTCCTGCTCCATATTATCAACTTTATACAATACATAGTGTGAATGTGTCTATCGTCACCAAAATTATATTCATTACATTCTCGTAAGGAGAAAAACACTTACATTTCATTACGTCAAGATATCCAAAACGTATGCTATCGAAATAGTTATTACTTTAAATCCAAAATTTGTCACATTAGATTTTGAACAAGGTCCTATATCTGCACATGAATTATTATTCCAAATACCAAGATCAAAGGTTGTAATTTCTAATTCAATAAGTGTTTTTACACAAAATTACAAAATTTAGGCTTTCAGTCCAGCAGTGGGAGAGAAATCGTCAAACCGAAATTATGTTCGTCCCGCGAGAATTTTGCTAAGAAACTGGCACAACTTACTTCTGCGTGGAGAAAAAACTGCAATATGTCAATTTTGCCTTTTCCCTCAGTGCTGCACGGGAATTATGCTGCTTCGTGTGAGAAATATGCCTAAATCTCAAACATATTATACCACCTTCAGTAGCATTTTGTATCTCTTCATAGAAACTTCTTCTTGCCTAGTCCACGAGAATAATGCTTTTGCACGAGAATTATGCTGTTTTGTGTGAGAATTATGAGTGAATACAAAACATATTATGCTATCTTCACGAGAATTTTGTATCTCTTCATACAAACGTTTTCTTGCCTAGTCGACGAGAATAATGCTTTTGCACGAGAATTATGCTGTTTTGTGTGAGAATTATGAGTGAATACAAAACATATTATGCTATCTTCACGAGAATTTTGTATCTCTTCATACAAACGTTTTCTTGCCTAGTCGACGAGAATAATGCTTTTGCACGAGAATTATGATGTTTTGTGTGAGAATTATGCATGTAGTCTAGCAGAAATTATGGTCTCTACACGAGAATTTTGTGTCTCTTCATACAAACTTTTTCTTGTCTAGTCCACGAGAATAATGCTTTTACACGAGAATTATGCTGTTTTGTGTAAGAATTATGCCTAAATCTCAAACATATTATGCGAGAATTATGCAGTTTTGTGTAAGAATTGTGGATATCACCTGCAACATATTATGCTATCTTCACGAGAATTTTATTGGCTAGGCCACGGGAATAATGTTTTTACGCGAGAATAGTGCTGTTTTCTCAAAGAATTACGCATGTATTCTCGAAGAGATTGTGGTGTCGGCGAGAATTTTGTGTCTGTGAATTATTCAAGAAGTAGTCTGTTTGACTTGAGAATTTCTCGGATGTCTCCAGTAGAATTTATGCGTATTGTTCGGAGAATTGTCGTGTTTTGGAGTGATAGTTGTGCTTTGGGTTAATGCTGATTGTGTGCTTTGGAGGGGTAGGTTTATGTAGTCATTTCTGGATGTATGGTATAGAGTTTGGTGAATGTTTTGTTATAGAATGGAAACGTGTACGTTTTCTGCGTGTGTAAGTGTGTGAATGTACGGGGTGTACTTTACAGAAAGGCTCTTATCACTGAAAGAATTTTATGTAGTATACTGTGAAGAATATATATGAAATCAGCTGTGCTTACACAGTACACCTCGGACGTTAGTTTGTATTTCACATGGGAAAAGCATCATTCACGTCCCCGAAACAAGAAAGCATTTAGGTAGTGATACAAAATTCACGTGAGGATAGCATAATATGGTACAGATCATATGCATCATTCTCGTACAAAACAGCATAATTCTCGTGTAAAAGCATTATTCTGGTGGAGTAGGCAAGAAACAGTTTGTATGAGATACAAAATTCTCGTGTAGACAGCGTGGTATACATTTTCTGTGGGTGTGAATGTGTGTCTGTGCGGGCTGTGCTTTTTAGAAAGGGTCTTATTGTTGAAAGAATTTTATGTAGTATATATAGTGTGAAGAATATATGTATTGACTTGTTTTTACACAGTACATCTTGGACGTTAGTTTGTATTTTAGACGGAAAAGTAAGTAGATGAATAAACGAACTGGATGGGCGTGAATATCAAAGTAATACTTTTCTGTTACGTAAGCACATTGCGCGTGTAGTGCTTTTGTTTTCGTGTATTGTCGTTCACTATAAAATTACGCGTGTTGAAGTAGATTGCCAGTTTTTGCGGTTTTATTCGGTTTGTAATTCAGTTTCTTTTGCGGATTTTCGAATGCCTTTTTACGCTGTGGAAAAAGGAAGAAAACCTGGAATTTATGCTTGCTGGTAAGTACAGTCTGCAAACGTATTGAGAAGAAATGTTTTTTAAAGGTAACTGTTATGGATTTCTGGTGTTG